AGTGTATCCACTCAGCTACTGAGTCAGAGGTTTCGTTATAGGTTCCAACAAAGGGTCCGCTTTGGGATCTATACTGGTTCCTTGAAGGGTGCCGTTCGAGGATTCTGAAGGCGGGATCCATTGGGATGCTTGTAAGGGTTCCACCCTAAACCCTAAACTTTGGCCCTAAACCTAAACCCCTAGACCCTAAACTCTAAACCCTAAACCTCAAACCCCCGACCCTAAACCCCAAACCCTAGACCCTGAACCCCAGACCCTCAAACCCAGACCCTAAACCCCAAACCCTTTCTGTTCAAATATCTATAGGGGGACTGCTGCTTCCCGAACTGTTGCCCCGGTGTAAGGGTTTGGATTTTCGGGTACCTGCAAACCTTACGTCCCATGACCCCAGGCCTGCTAAGCACCTCACAGGCCCTAAAACCAGAATTACTTCACTAAGGTGGCATCGATTCTACAGCTCGCAAGAGCACGCCAGCATGAAGAACTCGTAAGAGCAACTGTCGGGCTTAGAACTGCAGGTCTGAGACAGGAGAGTCATAGAGGGGCCTTGATAATTAGAATAGGGTTTTGGGGTTCCTTCAAAGGGTTCCTTAAAGAGTTCTATAAGGGCTACTACAAAAACTTAGTTAGAATAAGGATTTTTGGGGTCGAATATAAAATAAATATAATAAGGAGCTCCCAAAATAGTATTGGAACTTATGTAGGCCCCTACATTATAGCAATTGGAGCAGGGTTACTCATTGTACTTATATAAGTACCATCTAGATAGTCAGACCATGTCAGCCTCTATATTGCACCGATACTTGAGTTTCGGCCTAGACCTCTAGGTGCCGTACAAGGTTTACGACCATACCCTCCACCCTAAACCTTAAACCTGAAGCCCTAAACCCTAAACTTAAAGGGTGATCAGGGGTCCCTGGCAAGCGCGGCAAGCAGTCAGTGGTAGGTAACTCTACCAGGACCCTCCTTGTACCCTCAAGACGGCTCAGGGTTTGGAGGGTATATGGTCCCAAATAGTGTGTATTTAGCGAAGAGAGGGCAGATGGAGTGACTAGGTATTCGTGCCAACTTATAAACCTAGCTAAGGCTCAAGGTGCTTACAACTGTCCTTGGAACCCTAACCCTAAACCCTAAACCCCCGGGTTTAGGGTTTAGGGTTAACTACTTACTAATTGAAAAACTGTGCCTAACACAATTGCGGCTATGCGCGCATTCTGCCGGGCTCTCGTCATTTGGAAGGCCGTGCGGAAATCAGAGGCGACAGGAACAGCCATGCAAAGCGCCGGCTAGACACTGAGAAACAGAGTGCAAGCGTAGGAACGAACGGTCCAGGTTTTTTGTTTGGCCCGAAATCGGAGGTGCCAATCGCGCTGGGAGACGAAGTGCCACTGTGAGGTGGTGGGCCTCGCGGCGCTCGAGGTGGACCAGGTCTGACCATGACAGAGCCCTCGTACCGGTTTGAGACAAAAAAGATCCAATGTACCGTCGTACGAACCTTTTAAGAGGTGTCTGGGCCCCATGAGTATACTAATTAAACCATAAACCCTAAACATCCCTAAACCCCATTGTCCTATACTCTTACCAAGAGGGTCCATATAGACTACTATTATGGAGTTTGGTCCCCGAGAACCATTGTAACTATGGCCTTTGGGGGCCTGATTCCATAGCAGTGGTGCGTATATGGACCCTGTGGGTTACTTAGACTTAGACCCCTTGAGTAAAGCTCCTGAAACCTACCTTTTTTCAGGCTCCTTCTTACGACTTCCTTATACAAGTCTCTTGCGCAAAGTAGGTTCTTTGGGGCTAATGTCATGTATACAAACAATCTAGAGAAGCTCATGGGTTCGCGACGGAACCCTAGGATTTAGGGTTTAGGGTTATCATAGGGATTTGCTTGAAAGCCCCATGATAAGCCGACTATGCGAGCTCTATGGCCCTATCCGAAACCCTACAGCTCGAATTGAAGAGGTTAAAAATCTGGAAACCCAAAGTTAAAACCTTGAGCCCTAAAGCGCTACAGCCCTGAACCCTAAAATCCTAAACCCTAAACCAGACATAAACCCTCTAACATCCTAAACCCTGAAACCCTAAACCCTAAAACCTGAAATCCCAACCCCGAAACCCTAAACTAAGCCTTAAAGCCCTCAACCCAAAAACCCTAAGAAAACCCTAAACCCTAAATCCTAAACCCTAAACCACTCTGGGCTTCAGACTGACTAAGCCCCTGGGAGAGACGCTCCACGCCCACCGTGCCGAACTGCAGGGTTTAGGGTTTAGGGTTTGTTCAGTTCATGGGTTCAGGATTCCTTTAATTGAAAGGTTTATTGTACGTGTTATAAAGCCGTATTTAAGATATACGGGGTTATCAATACTCTTTAAACTTTAAACCATCACTCTAGACTGGCGCTTAAGTCGGCATCGATCGGGTTTTGTAACAGCTCTACAAATACAGGATTTCCAAAGCTTTAAGGGACCGTTGAGTTTCGACCAATGATTTTTCGCAAAGCAACGGGGGCTCGTCAGGAGTTTCGAGTTCACATCAACCCCAAACAGCCTGCCATTTTAAGGACTTGCAGAAAGAAGTCATAATAAGCAATGCAGGTTTTTCGGGCAGGGCTTACGGTTCAGAGTTCAGGTTCAGGGCTTGCTAGGTAGTACGGGTTCTCGTATATTGCACTCTGGAGAGGCTATTTGGGGTTTATACCAGACAAGATATGTACATAGGGGTCCTTTTTAAATGAGGGTGGGGGTACGTGACCTGAGTTGACCACATGAGCCAACCTCATGTGGTAAGGTGTCATTGGGGTTCGAAAAGACTGCACACACGGTTTATTCGGGTTTTGGGAAGAGTTTTGCATTTTTTTACACGGCCTCTGAGAATTCAAAGTTCAAGCAGTTAAGCAGCTTCTGAAATCCCATTGCAGTAGTTAAGGATGCGGTCGTGTTAGAAGGGGTGTAAGAAAGGGAGGGGTTTCAACGGCCAACAGGCGTTATAAGTGTATTCTAATGGGAGCTTATAGGGTATGTCCATAACACGCAACACCCCTCAAGTTAGGATGGTTCTGAATACTTGGCCAGCTTTTTTGGGAATGTCTAGATCAGCCACAGAGTTGCAAGGCTAATTGCTGGGAAGGAACAAGAACGTCCCTAGAGATCCGCGCGTCTGTAACCAACAGCATGCTGTGGTAGGCAGCCCTAAACCGTAGTACCTGAGCCCAATATCCTAAACCAGATACCCTAGCACCCTGAACCCTAAACCCTAAACCAAACCAGATACCCTGTCACCTGTTGAGGGCGCTGGCATGGACAGCTCCTGACTTATCTTTCTGACTCCACCACAGGCGTGTGCTCCCTTTGTTGCGTTTCTCGTCCGTCGTCTCCACCCGCGGGTGCTCGGCGGAGCAACGGAACAAGAGCTTTGTAAAGGTGAAGCTTTGAAGGCAAATGCCCTTGACCTGAACGGGGGGCGGGCCGGACCGTCTTGCTCCGCCAGGGCCTGTAACAAACTTTCGGCCATGTTCTCCAGCGTGTCGTCGGCCACTTCAAAGAGTGTTTCAGCAGCTTGAAACAATCTGCTCTTGCCTTTCTGGGCATTTGCTACATGGAAAGCGAGCACCGCCAAGATGCTCGCTCTGTTACTCAAGGCCGGCATTGCCGCAGCAAACACCATGGTCGTCGCATACGACATGCCGTGGCAGTCGAAATAGGCAGGAGATACTGGAACACTTTGTCAGGCAGGTGTTCCGCCGCGTTGAAATTGTCCTGGACAGCCTAAATAGCTTTGGCAAGAGTGCGCGCTTGCGGCATGGGGGCAAATGGCAACGAAGCTTTGTTCAATACTAAAGTGCGACAGCACTCTGATCTGTGAGCAATGCAGAGTAGAAGAACAGCAGCAATGGTGCAGCTGGCCAGAGGCGTAAGGCAGCAAGCACAATGCGTAGAAAGAGCCTTGGGAAACAATTTGTCAGGCCCGCAGCGTCTTGTCTGAGGCCCGGGGCACGCGCAGCATCTAATTGTCTGACTCGAATTACTGGGCTGGCAAGTGAAACACGAAGCGGCAGCTCTAGCTCCATTGTTCGCTGAAAGCATTCACCCAAGGCCAGTCTTTTTCACCACACCGGAAAGTCGAATTGAGTGCATGGGTCCAGCTGCGTTGGGGCGTACTCCCCACGCACGGATCGTGAACGTGAAGTAGAAGAGGAGCTGCAGCTGCAGGATCCAGCAACACTGACACGATGCTCAGACTCGGAACCAGAGGGCGCATCGGCAGCTTGCCAATCTTCTCCCGGATCAGAGCTTGCTATTGCAGACAAAGACGATGTCGGAAGCGGGCCTGGTATTCTGAAAAGTGTAGCATGACCTGAATCCAGCTGTGTTGGGGGAGACTCTCAACGCAAAGAAGGCGATCGCAATGTTGCACCCGGGACCAGAGCTGGCGCTGCTAGGAGCACTAGCCGTGCCGGACACCGTAGACGGATAGCGAAGCAAAGGGCTGGGCAGGCTCTGCCAGTGCAATAATACCCGGGCACCCGGCACACTAAATCAATCAGAACCCAGGAACCTAAGTTTTTATGATGTCTTCGAAGGCCTTTCAGTTCCTTGCAACCTATGGGCTCCAGCTAGGCTACCTAGCGTTACTGACTTATTACATAAGTAACTGGAGTCATAGGGTTATGAGTACAGGATGTCAAGAATCAATCAACAACGGAACAAAACCTGGCTACAGTCCTACAACCCTAAACCTTTAGAACCCTAAACCCTAAACCCTAAACCAGCAAGCGCCTGATTATAGTCCAGCCGGAGCAGGTTCACGAGCTTGTTTCCATTTGGCCTGCGGCGCACTTTGCAGCCCCAAGGCTCAAACTAAGAAAACAAACACCCAAATCCTGAACCCGAAACCCCAAACTTTAGGGTTTTGGGTTTTGGGGTTTAGGGTTTAGGGGTTTAGGGTTTAGGGTTTAGGGTTTTCAAACCCTAAACACCAATCCCGAAACCCTATACCCCAAAACCTAAACCTCTTCGCTCCGGGGCTCCTTGTCGCAAGTCCCGGCAGTCCTTAATCCCGTCCCTGCAGCCCTGTAATGAATCACCCACCCTGTTCTACGGCCTTAAGCCCGAAGCCCAAACTCGCCATAAACCCAGGAGATAGACCGTGTTGTCGGGTGCAGTTGATGCTTCGATCTACATTATGTTGAGCACAATTTGGGTTGTGCAAGGTTCTGCAGCATGGCCCATCGAGCGAGGACACTGGTGGCACGTCGCTTCCACGTCCTATAGCTACCGGCTTGAAGTGCACGATACACTTGCATAAGCTGTCAATAGCCTGGTTACCAAAAAACCCTCTAAGTCTTAAGTATAACACATTTGCAGCACCTCAAAACCTAAACTCAGGACCCTATAACGCTATAAGCCTAGAGCCATAGAAGTGCGTGACGTAATAAGCACCTCCAGCATAACAGCATAAAGCTCCTCGAAAGGGTTGAACGTGCAAGCTGTTAAAAGCAGCCTCAAAACCACACAAACACTACCGCCAACTCTACACCCTAAAACCTGAGGGGGAACCACCAGAAAAGATCGAAACCCAAAGCCCTGAGGCCCTAAACCCTAAACACGGCCCAAAACCCCTAAATCCTGAGGCCAGAAAACCCTTGAAACTAATCCGAAGCCCTTCAGTCAACCCTGAGGCCTAAAACCTGAAACCCTGAATCCTAAACCCGACACCCTTTCAAATCCCAAACCCGGAACCCCAAAAAATACGGACTAAAACCTGAAAAACCTGAATCCTAAACCCTACATCCTAAACCCTAACGCGCTAAACCCTGAGCCCTAATTCCTGAACCCTTAACTTTAACCCTGACCTAAACCCTAAACCCTGCGCCCTGGGGCCCCGTCCCTAGCGTTCGGCCGAGAAATTCGCAGCCCAGCTCGGTAACGCCGTTGTCGGTGAAGTGGAGGTCCTCGCGGTTTAAGGGATCTATAAAGGGTTCCTTTAAGGGATGTATGTGGGCTCCTTCAAGGGATCTCTCTGGGGGTTCCAGAAGGGTTCCATAAGGGTATAGGGTTCAGGGTCCCTAAACCCTAAACCCTAAACCCTAAACCCACGGTTTAGGGTTCAAGGTGCAGGATTGAGGCTTCAGGTTCAGGATTTAGGGTTGAGGGTTTGGGTTCTTCGGGCTCCTGGGTGTCAGGGCATTAGGGTCTCTTGGTTCTGGTGATTTCTATATAGTTATAAATACATATATATATATATACATACACTCATATGTATATGTGTGTGTATGCTTGCATTCGTTTGTTGGTTCATATGCTCATTGACACATATACATATATGTTTACTTCGATATGTGACTGCAACATTGTCTATATGCTTTTCACGGCTTCATTCTTAGATCTGGCAGCTAGAATTCAAATCCGAGTATTCAGATGAACCTGTTTGGATTCTTGACCGTAGGCTCTATAGCAGGTCGTCTTAAACAGAAGGAGGCAGTCTTCATGTAAGGGCATTGAGGGTTCCTCCTTTGTTCATATGGACCCTTGTGCTGTCGAATGTGATCCTGCATACACCTACGTGCACAAGACCCGAAGCGACACCGTAAACCCGGAAACGAGAATTAACATGCCGGATGGTGGGAGCCTAAGGCCCAAATGCGAATCCCTAACACTCCAGAGCCTTAATAGAACTCTTATACAGCCTCTACGAATCAGTAACTTGAGGGCACAGGTCCCCTAAACCCCAAAACCCTAAAGCCCTACGGCCCTAATTCCTACCTAATATAGGGACCGTAATAATTAGAAGAGGGTTTTGGGGCCCATTATACTGTAATTGTCACAAGGAACCACCGAAATAGTATAGGTAGTTATCGAGTCCCCTATACCAAAACCTAAACCCTAAGCCAAACAAAAAACCAAGCCGCAAACCCCGGGTGCACAGTGAAGCCGGTGCCTTCACGCCCTGCTCACCGGTCTGCCCATCAAGGTAGTAGCACCTGAGGATTACTTGTTGGCATACAGTAGGCTAAGGGTTTAGGGTTTAGGGTTTAGGGTTTAGGGTTTGAGGACCTAGATCACTCGCATCTTATTATTGTGCATGCCACAAGGCTTTATTCATTCCCACACATTCGGTCACAGGGGCACTCTAGACAGCCTTTGTGACAAACGTGGCGGCACTTTTCTTCAAAGCCATGCAATTTCCTGGCGTATAGCCGGCTGCAGCGAACCACATAGCCGGCCATCCATCGTCCCGATTCAGCTCTGTCCAACTGGAATCTGCCCAGACAGCAATGACATGTGATGCCTGAGGATCAACCTCTGCATGCCACTACCTGAGCAAGTCTCGGGTACAGTGTCGCTGTACAAGCTACCAAACGTCAAACTCTAAAGGCGCTGAACAGTAAGTCCTTCCTCCGAGTGCGCTCGTCGTCCATCATCACAGAACTCTATAGCGGTTCTATAAGGTTTCCGTATAGAAAGTAAATTCGAAGGGTTTCCTTTCTGCTTATAGGCAATTGGAGTCTCGGGAGCTGATGAGCGCTAATGTAGGGGCCTTAACAATTAGAATAGGGCTTTGGGGAATATACTGCAATTATAATAAGGAACCCCAAACTAGTACTCTAGGCTTTTAAGCCCCTATGTGTTATGGCTTCTTATAAAGCGGGTTAAGGGTTTAGGGCTTGGGGCTTAGGGTTATTACCCTAAGGCGCCATGTGCATATATATATATATACACACACACATACACATATAGTGTGTGTATATATATATATAGTATATGCCTCGGCCATACCGGGGGCTCCGATATAGGGGCTTTATGAGGCCTAAGTATATATGATATTCAAGTGCATGAATCCTGAGGATTAGGTCTCAGGGTTCAAGGTTTTGGGACTAAGGGAGTTGTTTGGATTAGGCGGGTTGCTTCTATTTTTGTAGGGATTGGGGTTTAGGATGTCGGTCTTGGTTAAGGGCTTTTAGGGCCAAGGCGGTGAAAGGTTGTGGTTCCAGGGGGTTCCATGATTCTGATAAGGGCTCGATCTTTTCAGTCTATACATCCTCGACCCTTCGCAGAGGATGCAGTGCAGCTGTTAGGGGAAAAACAAACCCTAACTCGTATTTTTGTTGTGGGATTTCGTTGCAAAAACTGCTGGTCATGGCTCTGCATCAAGAATCCATTGCTACAGAGCTGCAAGCAATGTAGGGGCCTTAATGATAGAGGAGGGTCTTGGAGTATGGCTTGGTGCAACTATGTAGGAGCGGGGATAATGTTACTAATAATAATTCAAGCCCTTGTACCCAAAGCTACACTTACGTTTCTAAAGTAAACGCACCGTTTGAGACTAAACGGGGCAGTTCATTTTGCTCGGCTTGAGGCGTCAGTTTCGGGTTTAGGGGTTCAAGTGCTCCGAACCCCACAGCACCTGAACACTACTTTCACAGACAAGTTAGATTCAGTTCGATCCCCAATCCGAAAGCCTGCGCCCGAGTGCCTTGAATGTTTCGGGCTTATGGGTTTAAAAGGTTCAAACCCTATTTAGGGCTTAGGTTTAGGGTTTAGGGTTTAGGGTTAAGGGGTTCAAGCCCTAAGCTTTAAACTGAATGCCCCTGATCCAAACCGCCCGCACTTCTCAAACTCGGTTCTGCACACGCTGCGGACCGCCTGAGCAGTGTCGCCGGTGAGCACACAGCTTCTTAATGGTTTTCGAGTTCGCAACCCCAGAAATGAACGCAAAACCCTAATGAACCCAAAGACTTAAACCTGAACAAACACAAACCCAAACGTCTGAGTACTGGATACTACAGGGGTTTAGGGTTTAGGGTTTAGGGTTCAGACAGGGGCCTCGATAACCAGAAAAAGGTTCTTGTTGCGGTAGATTCTCGTACATTGATTTAGGATAAAGAATCCTCAGAGATGGTTTTCCTGCTCTTTGGCTGTAAAGGACCCCAATACCACTTGTGTGGGAATACTGCACAGGACTGTGCTTTAAGTATATTCGGCAGCCACATAGGGAAGAGTACTCGAGATGATTCGGTCCGCGATGTGGCAGCCCTAAACCCCATAACCCTTCAACCCCCGACCGAACCCACAATCGTAAGGAAATTTTAATGAAGAGCTCCACAAGGTAGCCCTAAACCTTGAACCTTAAACCCTAAACCCTAAACCCCACAAGGTAGCCCTAAACCTTGAACCCTAAACCCTAAGCCCCACAAGGTAGCCCTAAACCTTGAACCCTAAACCCTAAACCCCACAAGGTAGCCCTAAAC